CAAATTGTGATAAATTCTCGACCAAACCGTCGGAAATGCCGCCGATGTGTCCCAACATCGCCCGGAGTTTACCCGATGTAAACACCGGCGATAGTATAGAGCGCACGCGTCGCCAGTTATCATCACCCGGTAGGAAAAACAGACTCTGGTCAATTTTGGAGCTACCAAGGTGGAATATTTTGTGATTGGGAAACACGTGAAAGTCTTTCACCATAACGTCTCGGAGCAGATCAGGTTCGTTCAATACCAAATGTGTGCCCGTGAATGAGTACGCGCCGTACACTCTGCCATATTTATTGACGGCCTCCAGTGTGTGCTCGTGGTGTACATTCGTAAATCCCCTGTACTCAATGTATTTTGGTCCCGGCACACCCTGGCGAGACCAGTAAGTGAATCGCCGCCGCAGTAATCTATATTAACAAGATTATTTGTTAAATAATTTTGGTTAATGTGTAATGTCGATATACGTTATATGTATGGTACATGTAATAAATATAACAATATATAGATTATTATTATACTTACAGTGCGATTACAGCGATAACCACAGCCAATGCGGCGATAAATGTTTGCAAATCCATGATTTTGAGTAACAATTAATATTTTTAAAAAAATTATTATTTAACTTGTTTGAGAGTTATATATTCTTACAACTATTTTATTTGACGACAATTATTATTATTATATAATGTGAAACAATTCATGTGATATACATTCAAAGTTAACTATTTTATTAGAAATATTATGGGTTTATATACTTTATTTATAATATGTACCAACAGTTCTATTTTGATAATAATCGTGTTTATGTTGAACTGGTATTTTTGGTACAAATAAGGGCAATCGGGGTTTTAACGTATTAAGCAGGGATAAGTTTATATTTTTGTGTTTACTGTTTATGGTACATTCAATAATGTTTGTTTTGTTGTTGAATAAAAGTACATATAGTTTAACTAGGGTATTTATTTTTGAATTAGGGATTTTTTCAACATGTATTTTATATATACAGCTAGACTATCAATTAAACCTTTATTGTTATTATCTATATTTATTAACTGAATTTATCATTTTACAATATATTGATGCTCAAGGACGGTAAGGTACAGGCAATTGTAATTATAGATAAAATTTTGTAACCTTGATTTTATTTTCATGTTTTATTCTAGACAGCGCTAGTAGTAGTACTTATATTGTGTAATTGTTATAATATTAGCTGGTAATAGTAAAGTGGTTATTAAACTAATCCCTAGCTTTGAGCTTAACGAGCAGATCTTTGGGTGACATAAGTATGGATCCAATAAAATAATTGATTTTTGGTGGTTGTGCCAAGGTGAATTCAAACTTATGTATGAGCTTGGCCAAACACATTCGCATCTCTTGCATAGCAAACCTCTGTCCAATGCATACTCGGGGTCCGCCACCAAAGGGTATGTAAGCGTACGGATGGTGTACTGGGTTTAGGAAACGGTCGGGTATGAAGTCGTTAGGGTTGGGCCACAGGTCTGCCTGTCTGTGCAAAGCGTACGGCAAGATCTCAACGGTTGCCCCTTTTGGGATTGTAATACCTATTGTGGTAATAGTAAAAAATGTTTTAATTAGCATATTTAGTGTACATTATATTAAATTTAAAAAATACCTGTATTTCCGAGTTTGTAGTTCTGAAGGCATTCCCGTCGAACACGTGTTAGTGAAGGCGCGAGACGTAGTGTTTCATTGATAACTGCGTTCAAGTATTTCAGTTGCGATAACTTTTCGTACGTAAACTCATCGCAAGTTTTTAACTCTTTGTATAGTATTTGCTGACAATCTTTGTGTTCAGACAAGTAGTATATGGCATGTGTTATGGCGGCGGATGTCGTGTCGTAACCGGCGATGAAAAACAGCAAACCCTGAGCTACCATCTCATCCGGTGTTAGGGTTCCCACAACTTTCTTTGCCAACTGTCCACCGATGGACTCGTCGTCCACTTCCGGTTCATTACCGGAATAATATGCCGACTCTTTGTCTGACATTTCCGAGTCTATCATTAATTGTATAAAATCTGTCCGCCGTTTGGCTATAGATGTAAACAAAAATAAAATTAAAATAAAATATTTACATTAATAAAATGTTACTTACTTTTATCAGTGTTAACATATTTATTGTTGCTTTTTCTTTCGCTTAATATCTTCTTGGTTAATTGATCAAAATATCCAGTTGCTTTTATGTCAAATGGTTCTAGCTCAAAAAATCTGGCAATACCCGGTGCCAATAAAGATAACGCAGCACTAATACCCGCGTCAGCATTCAATATCTTTGAAGCGTTTGTGACTACCGGATGGTTGGGGTTATCAATAGACTTAACATCTATGCCATAAGCGCAGGCACTGATCACATCCATTGCAAACGCGCCCACGTGTTTGCGCATATCTACTGATTCACCTAGATAATAAATTATCAATATAATAATATATGTTATTTTATATTATAAAATTACATTTTCAATATACATTTGTATATTATTCAAAATGAATACCTTTTTTCTCAAATTTTGACAAATTCTCGACCAAACCGTCGGAAATACCGCCGATGTGTCCCAACATTGCCCGGAGTTTACCCGATGTAAACACGGGGGACAATATAGAGCGCACACGTTTCCAGTTATCGTCGCCGGGAATAAAAAACAAACTCTGGCCTATCTTAGAGCTACCAAGGTGAAATATTTGAAATTAAAATTATCATGGATTTTTTTAAAATAAACTGCATTTTTATAAACATTTTGATGTTTAAATTGGTTTAATTTCTAAGACAATTTAAACTTCAGCATAATTTTTATATACAATATGCTTATAATTTTGCTGTTATTTAAAGATCACAAGTTTTTTATTTTGATAAAAAACATGTCAGATCATTTCTATTTGTTACGACATGCAATTCCTGGTAATGGAAATATATTTATACTTGTTAGCACCCTATTGTATTGATTATTATTAATTATGATGTATTCATTATCATTGAAAGTGTGAATAATTTATCCAAATCTCCCTAAATTATATTCAATGGACGGGTATTTTATATGGAGAAGTTTCACAACGAGTTTTGACATTAAATGTATTAGAAATCCTTCAAATTGTTTTTAATGATTTGCATTTACTATTATACTTGATAAATAGGCTGACAAAATATTCAAATAAAATAGCCGAGTGCATTTGAACATAGGATTAACATGTTCCTATAAACTCATGTGATGCATATTACATAATTATATTTGTTTCTTACAACAAGCTATTTATACAATACAATTACTTCACACGGATTATCATCTTAGAAATGACATGGTACAGTATTAATAGTGTAGTGTTTTGACACGTATCACAAAATATATCGTAAAATATTGATGTGTTCGCCGATATAATTTGTCAAATAAATTGAATAGGATTAAAATGTCAATGTTTTGATTAAGTAGCTACTGTTTTTATAATTATAGTGCACTTAATTGAATCGGAAGTTACCATCTGATCATGGTACTAAATTGCAGTTTTGTACACATAACTAAAAATGTTATCGCCGCTTTTTTATTAGTGAATTATTTTGTATAAAAGCAAAAGTTAAAAACAAATAAATTTAGACATTGTTTTAACATTACACTGAGCTAGTGCTAATATTTATATTATATTTATATTATAAGATAATTTGTATTAAATATATTATGCTTTGTATACTTTGCTTAATGATAAACCATTTGTTGTGCTAATTAATCAAGCAAATTTCTTTTGACACTTTTTACTTGAATTAAACTGCTGTTTAAATTGAATACTAGGAAAAATGAATGGTAATGTAATTTAAAAATTTTTAAAATTAACTTTTGTCAAAAATGATGAAATTTTTTCTTAAAATTTCTTACTTAAAAATATTTCATCATATCAATAGTTTCTGTATATAAATAGTTAACAAGCAACTTTAAAATATAATTTTTATATTTAAACACAGTTGACATTACAACTATTTTATAAATATTTTTACAGCAATAATTGTTAGCAACAATATACCCGTGGTGCCAAGTCACCTAGGCAAATTAAACAACATGCTTAGCAAAATCAACGCAAACACACCTGGTGACAATACCGTCAAATCGATCATGAACATTATCCGTCGCAAAGCCACCACCAATGGACAGGTAGGACATGACCTGGACTACGATGACCAGGCCTTCTACGTGGTGGACGTGGAGGACATTATCAACAAACACTCGCAATGGACCCAATGTTTACCCCGAGTTCAGCCCTACTATGCGGTCAAATGCAACCCGAGTCCGATCGTGTTGGAAATACTGGCCGGACTCGACTGTGGCTTTGACTGCGCCTCCAGGGGTGAGTTGGATCAGGTGCTGGGTCTTGACGTGAAGGTAACGCCCGACCATATTATATACGCCAACACGTGTAAACCCAGGTCATATATATTGCACGCCCGGGCGCTGGGTGTACGTCATATGACATTTGACAACCGGGAAGAGCTTGGTAAAATATCGCGTCTCCACCCCGACGCCTTGTTGGTAATCAGGGTTAAAGTAAATGATAAATTGGCCAAGGTACCCCTTGGTTGCAAGTTTGGCGCGCACCTCTACCAGGTACCAGGGTTGCTAAAAACGGCCAAACAGCTCGGGTTGACAGTAATCGGGTGCAGTTTTCACGTGGGCAGCGGGTGCCAAAGCGCCCTAGCTTATCATCAGGCTATTTCCGACGCCCGTTTAGTATTTGACCTGGCTAACGATCACGGCTATCACATGATCTACCTCAATATAGGTTTGAATTAATTGATTTAATTTTACAATGGTGTAATTAAATGTAACTAAATGTGTGTTTGGGACACAGGGGGTGGGTTTCCTGGATCGCCGGCCTCTGGCGTATGCTTTAAAGAGATGGCTCAGGCGGTAGAACAAGCGCTGGGCAAACATTTTCCGGCCACTGAACACCGCTATAATCGGGATAACTTTACAATTGTGGCCGAATTGGGTCGATATTATGTAATAAAAATTAATTATTTTTAACAGTATTGGCCGTATTTGAAAGTTCCCAAAATTTATTAATGATTTAATAAATTACTTATAATAATATAACTTTTTGAAATTGTTTACAGTATGTTATGTATAGGATAACAGTAAGGTAACATTTGGTATATACAATTTTTAAATATGATAATTTTGTTATGATAATTAACAGAAATATCTATATGGCTGTATTATTAATTTCTAAAATCAGGGATTATATATTTTATCGTTTATATAATGTAATTAAACAATATAACCACTTAATATTTTACAATTTATGTCTTTAAGGTGGCATCGGCGTTTACCCTGGTCACCAATATAATCGCTAAGCGATGGGCACCGGTAGACAACGACCACAAAAACAATGCGGAAATGCAATACTACCTAAACGACGGCCTTCACGGCTCGTTCGCCTGTATTAGACTCGACGACACTATACCCGAACCCCAACCCCTGGTGTCGTTTCCCACCCGACCCGTCTATGAGAGCACACTATTTGGGCCCACGTGTGACAGTAGGGACTGTGTCAGGCGCCGGGTGCCACTGACCGAGATGCTAGTGGGCGAGTGGCTGTATTTTAAACATATGGGCGCCTATACTCTGTGCGCCCGCACCGAGTTTAACGGATTCCCTGCTCCGAGATTTGAGTATACGGTAACCCCGCGGGCACTGTCTATACTACAAAGGATGCCTAATTGGAACAGTATTTCTACCATAATTAATAATGATGTAAATAATAATTTGTTACCCGAGCAATAGCATGGCTATTTAAATTAATAGAATTTGTTTTATAATTAAAATGATAATTAAAATTATCAATCCTCTTTTTGATTAGTATTAAACTGTATTAATTTATTCATATACATAAATATAACGTAAATGTTACAATGATCAAAATATATTTTAATTATAATTTGTATAATGCTATATATTATATTTTGTAATTGTAATTTGTTATACAAAATACATAAAACATAAATTGTTATTTAAAAAGCAAGCATAACCTGCAATAAGTTACAACAACAGAAGTTGTTTTAACATTATAAGTATAGGAAACACAATAAAATTTTAGTAAAAATTACTGATATTAATTCTGTTTATTTAATTTATTAATTGAAATAACTATATTAAACAATACAAATTAATTCCTTTAAATAGTTGACAGAGTACTAATCAACGCTAACTATTTCAACATGGTCTAGCTATATTATACACGAATAATTGCATAATCAACAAAAACATAAAATAAAAAATTACTGGTTATTTTGTATTTATTATTTGGTACAAAACAGACCCCGAATAATAATAATAATCATTACTGAAACAATCGTAATACATTGTAAAGATTACATGTATTATCATAATATACCGACTTTAATAAAAATGATTATTTGTTATCAAAATTGTGGTTAACGTATAGAATGGTTGTGTAAACATCGGCGAGTTGCGTCCAATATAATTATTAATTGCTCATAAGAAGTAGTGGTCAATATGGTTTAGATTTTTATTTACAGTTTAACAAATAATACTAATAATTTTATACTAATAATTTATATTCTTAATAATAAATTATTTTTTGACTTTTCCGAGTCTATCATTAGTTGTATAAAATCTGTGCGCCGTTTGGTTAATGAATTGTGTTATTTAATAAAGTTAATTTTTTTTGTATAAAAATATTTAAATATAAACATATTTAAATACATTCTCTTTTGCACTGTATCCATTATTTACATATTTCTTTAAAAATCTATTATTTTTATAGTCTTTTTCTAATTTATTACAGTTTATTTACATAATCAATAGACTATAGTTATTAAATTAATTTGTATTTGTAATTAAACTTATTATTAAATATATAATTAAATTGTTACCATTTTATATATAAATTAATTTGACATTATAAACAATAGTTTATTTGCATGAAAACACGTTTTTAAATAAAAAATATTTGACTTAATTGTGTTTAAATATTTATCAAAATGTTTTAAAACCAACGCTAACCAAGACAAAACTTACTTTAAATGTGTGAATATAATGTAGTAATTTTAGTCTTTATGATTAAGCCTAAAACAAACGCGGTTGATTCATATTATTTATTTGTAAATAAATTAGTTTATTACTTTTTAAATATTCTCTGAAACCATTTATTTCCGAAATTATAATTTTATTTAAAAATCAGCTATTCTGATGGATTTTTTGTAATTTATTGCAGTTTGTAAAAATAAAACATATGCAGTAGATTACTACAAATAAAGTAAAATTCATTACTACGCTATCTAGATTAATCCTGGCCAATCTTTTTAACCACATTGACCAGGAGCTCTTTCGGGGACATTAAAATATTTCCAGTAAAATATTCAATTTTAGTCTTATTGTAGGCAATAAATTCAAATTG